GTTGCTCTACCTATTAAACTGTTTTTATCTCAACCCACGAGTTTTCTCACTTTTACCCTTCCGATTCTCTCCCCCATCCCACTGGTGGGGGGGGTGAGCGAATGGCTGTGTGGTGTTTAGCTGCCTGCCAGGTTAAACCACAACAATCATAAAAACCACCCCCATATAAAGCCATACACTCAAGGAACTGTGTGAAGGAAGAACTCTTCCTTCATTAGTTTTGCGAGAAAATACACCTCTGAAATTTCACTTACCTTCAGAAGCCCTTCTCCTGATTCAACCCTAACTTTTGCTTTGACACAGACCACTTTTCACATCAATCTTCCATCACACTCACGTTTTGGGAACTGTCCGCTATCAGATTTATTTTCTTTCCTTGCATTTCCCCTTCAATTTGTACTTTCCATGCCGTTTCTGAGAAAGTACCCCAGAACCCCATGCTCCTAAGTTTCCACCCTTGCAGAAACACATGCTTTCATTTCCTCGCCAACTTACAGACTTTTTACACTCTCCCAAACACAAGAAGCAAATCTGACTTCTGTTCATTATCATTTCTGCACACTTGTCCATATAGCTTTCTCCATGAAGCCATGGTTGTCTTTTCTAACTCACTCTTCACTAAATAATTCTAAAAATGCCACTTTACCCATCTCCTCATCACAGTTGCCTCTTCCTTTCCAATCCTTCTGGTCTTCTCCCCAATAGTCTATCCAAATGCAGTCCACTAAATTAACAATCTTTAAACTGACATCTTCTCTTTAAATCTCTATTTTGGTTTTCTGCCTTTTATGATATAAAATTAAAAAGTGACGCAATTAAAGGTCACAATTAAAAGAACTGTGAAGATCTTACAACTTTTCATTTTCTCTTACTCCATATCCTTCTCTTCAAACTCCTAATCTATTTTTACCTCGCTTTCAAAGTTCCTACTTTGCATTTCGTTGAGTTTCTGAGTTTTGAGAATTAGCCTCCTTTTTAACTTCCACCAATCCCTCTTTCTCAAATCTGTTTTCTTCCAAAAATAACATAATTCTCCTCACCAACATTACATTCCAATTCCTCTTTCTCCATCTGGAAACATCTGTAAACGTTTTGCTTTACATGTCTTGTGTCTTTCTATTAACATATGACTTGAAAGCTCTTTAGAGTAGGAAACATGTACCTCCTCTCTCTCTAAAAAGCAGCGCATTTCTTTCATACATTCAACAGGGTATTTTTAAAGAGGTCAACCTCCTCTACCATCAAGTCATTTTCCTTCAAAAGTCACAGATTTCTTTGGGGTATAAAGTTAAACACTGGCCACTGCAAAGAACAAACAGTGGAAGATAGCCAATAAAGATGTTAACCGGGCTGAGTACTAAAAGTCTCCAAACATCTGATGTCCACAACTGTACTAGTAGATACAATACAGCATGATATGATACTCATGATTTCTCACTGTGTGACTTCTTTAGATTTGAGAAGAAACAAGGAATATGGGCTACAGACACTAAACACTACTTGTCAAGACACCTTTTTTTTTTTTCTGTATTCTTACTGTGCCCATTCAAGAAAGTTAACAGAAGTGTTTCTATGCAAATTGAATTTCTAGGCCTTTAAAGACTTGATATGAAAACTAGGAACACTGGTAAATCAAATTAACAAGCAAAACCACACCCAAGTATGTCTCATAATAATTACTTACAGTGCTCAACTCATTTGTAGTAAGCCGTCGGAGAACAAATTCAAGAATACTCTCCACAGCTGTCATTAGAGATTTCCAGATAAAAAACAATACCCCATCTGTGTGAAGAGAAAAAAAAAAAATGTATTAACATACAGAAATACACTTTCCTTAAGAAATTTATTACCTCATGCAGATTTAATTAAGTTAGAGTCAAAGTTATACAGTAATAAGCATTCAAATACCTAAGAATACCTTAAAACAGCTCTGTACTCTTTAGCAGCGTAAGCCATAGGGCTGAAAGAATCAAACCAGATGATATGCTTTCCTGAGATCTAATGTGAATTAGTGAACCAAAAACCACACAAAGCCAGAAGACCAAAGCATAATTTGCCAACTTTTAATGCACACTTCTGTCCAATTCCCAACCCTCTGCACAAACAGCTCATTAATGAACTTACTTTTTAATAAACAACAAAAGTTTCCATATCCAGCAATTATTGTATGTGAGAAAAATGCAGTTATCCATTTCTAATATGTACAGAAGTGAAAACTGGGTTTTGGTTGGGTTTTTTTTTTTGCTCTTTAGAAATAATTCAGCTTTGGATACAGAGTAATCTTACAAGATTTCAGTCAAGTAGCTTCCTGGCTTACATTGTAAACAAAAATGCCAGGTTATAACACAAAATGCGATACTTTCTTTAAGAAAAGGCTAGGCTACAAAGTATACCACACATGCATAGCATTTCACAAGTGAAAAGACACAAGTTTATTACACAAGGGAGATAGGTCACTCTGGTAAAACATTTTTAAACACAAGCACACTTCAATGTGTGCTTCAAGGGTAAGGGCTAGCTGAAAGCCAAAGATAACACATATCAATATGAAAATTGAGTTAAAATACTCTGCATGACCATCTTGTTCTAAAAATATCAGTCATTAGTTTCAGTATTTAGGAGAGTTACCCTGAGGTTCTATCCGCTGTTTTTTTCTGGAGGTGACCCTGAGTTACATTTCACATAGTGAAATTATTATGAAATGGAAGACCTTCAAAAGGTAGTAATATAAAGGGACGTATTTCCAGAAGTTCCAAATCTATATTGTACTTACTTTCAATGCTCTCTATTAAAACAGCTCATTGGACTGCATTTATAATGTTTAATTTGTGTAGAACAAACAGTTTAGCTATGTCAGATTATTATCCCATTTCACCGTAAGTCTCAAATCACTAAAACATCTTCTGCAATTAAAATGCAGAAATTCTTCAGATAAACATGTAAGACAGTAAAAACCAATTCACTACCAGGAGCTCTGTTACGCTGTCAAAAAAATTAGCAGCAAAAACTTACTGTTTAAAATAGTGAAGTCTAACAACAGTACAGACACCAAAATCTGTAGAAAAATGCTGCTTTTAACATGCATTGCAGACATGTCTATCCCCATTAAGGTATTCTTAAATAAAACACTTCCCAATTGTTATTACTTCTGTTTTACAAGCTTAAATGCCTTTCTTCTTCCCTCCCATTTTATCCTTTTTCCATTTGACAGACAGGACTTTTCACCTCCTGTTTAACCAACGCAGAAACAAAACTTCTGTATTTTACAGCATCACTCTTCCCGCCCCTCAACTGAGCCAATTCACAGCTGCGGAAACAAGATCTATTACTTGGCTCTCCTGTGCAGGAGGAAGAAGCACAAAAACATTGTCGAAAATAACATAAGAAAAGTAATCCTTGTTTCACTTAACACAGAAAGACATAATATTACAAGTACAATTATGAAAGCCTCTTGAAAGACTCTACTGACGATGAGCTGTACTGGAGTACCTATGGGGGTGTTCAGAAGGACGGAGGCGCTGCAATGCTCAGCCTCGCCGTGCCTCGAGAACTCTGTTAGCAGAGCTTAACGTGTTAAGTCAGGTATCAAAATTCTCAAGGCAGGAGCCATTGATTATACACGTACATTAGCAAGCACAGTGGCACGTAAGAAAACGATTTACAGGGTTAAATACTTGATACTAAAAACTTAACATGCGCTCGCACGTGTTTTGGAGGGTTCTGCTTCAGGCTTGCTCTAGCCTCATGCTGTGGACTGAACGGACACTGGCAGTTGGGGCACATCTTCCAGTTTAGTTTCACATCCAAGCAGTCGGAGGCCACCCCACAGTATGAACTTTAACAGGTTGCATAATTAGTTCTCAGTATTTCAGTCAAACAGCTAAAATTCAAGAGGGCGGTGACTGTATAAAGCACTTCTTAAAATTAGGTTAAGCATTTACTTCAGGGCTGCATTTAGACATCTTTACAAAACCTGGATGCAGAACCCGAAATAATTTTTTTTCCATGTAAGAGCCCAGATCTGTGGCTTCTGCTCCAAAACTACTCTTGTATTTCATGTTATAAAAATACTGAAAAAAATCCCAAAACAATCTGGAGAAGCAGAAACCAAATGCCAAGATCCCTCTAGTTCAGCATCCTAATTCATGAAAATAATGCAATTCTTCACTTGCTCTCAGGAAAAAAAAAATTATAGATCTATTCTGGTTACAAATTGACCAAGTTCTAATAAAAGTAGTAAGAACTCTATAGCTTTTGTTCAGACTCTCCTGAAAGGTCTACAAATTAAAATGCTTAATGTGGGGGGGGGGGGGAGAACTCCCACACAGTCAGATCATCAGGCTTGTGCTTAAGTGGGCACCTCTTAACTGCCTTGCTTTTTAACTAAGGTCAAATTGAAGCAAGCCAGTTAAGCACGCCTACTGAAATTCATGCCTAATACTGTGAAATAATCAGAGGCATCCTGTCTTTTGCGGTCTAAACAGCATTGGTTGAGACAAAAGTATCTACCAGTCAACTCAGAAAACAGTATGTCTAGCAGGATCACTTTATGCACTCAGGGAGGGCTCTGGCTGAACCTGGGGCAACTAAGCAGGTTAGGCTGGGTTTCTGTACTAACTTCTTTCTGAAGTGTCTAGATGATTTATGGAATCCATACAGTGGCAAAGAATAGGCCTATAAATATTTGCAATAGGGTCACACTCTCCAAATTTTAACTAACTGCTAATCTAATCCTAATGGGTAACAACTGCTTTCTCAGACGGCTTCCACATTCTCAATTCCCAGTCCTTGGGCACCTTCAGAAAAGCCCCTGTAGGATTGGACCCACAGCTCAATTTTGTAACAGATATGCCAGATTGTCAACTTTTACATTTACCACTTCTAGGCTGGTAATAATTTGACAAGATAGCCTTAAAACATTAAGTACCTTATTTTTAGTTAGACTATAATTAATATAAGACACAGTATACTGAAGATATCACTAACCATCTTGTGTATTGGAACATTTTAACGAACGGGTCTGCAATAACTTCAAGAGAAGCTGTAGGCTTTTATCTGTTTTCAGTGTTGGTATGTAAGCATTACTGCCAAGTTTCATCAAGACATCCAGAAGAGGGTTCAAGAAAGCCTCTAGTTCAATCCATTCTATGTTGCTTTTTCCACTACACAAAAACAAAAATTAAAAAGAAAGTCTTCTTCTGAGTATCTGCCTTAAGTGCTGAAGTCACTTATGGAAATAAATAGGACACATGTTTCCAGGTCACTTAAGTATCTTTAGAAGTGTTAGGCAGTATGTTTGCAGCAACAGTTGCACAAGGTCTAAGGAACCATCAGGCTGACCAAAAGTCTACAGAGAAAGATGGACAACTTCCTGACTCTAGGTTTCAGGTTTCTACTGGACCCTTCAGGAGTAGGGGGGTTGAGAGAAATGTAAAGTAAGGTATTTCATACTTACCTGTATTTATTCCTCATGTGCTCCACGTCTGCAGCCAACAAAATCACTGTTGCGACAAGCTTAGCTTCAAACCAGTCAGGCATAAAGCAATTTTCTCCTGATTAAAGATATTTTAAGGTTTCCACAGTATTTAAAAAATACCTTCATATTAATTTTTAAAATCTTTGGTTTTCTAACTTATTAAAATAAATTAGTACTATAACAACAATTAATGCTAACAAGAATATTACTACTAATTTTTTGCATTCTTCCATCTAGATACAAACTAAACTCAAATACAATTGCTTTCCCTCTACGCCTCAAAGAGGCTAATCTCATTGGCCTCTATGCTGAAATCAATTTTAGGCAACGTGTCATATTATGTAGTAGCTCCCAACAGGCTTTTCTATTGCTTGTAAAAATACATTAGCATATTCAAATGAAGTAACCAAGAACATAATTCCACTATGCTTCGTCAGAAACATCAGCTGTGATTTTGATCAGCTAGAAGTTATATGAAGAACTAAAACGATCCTGTCAAAAGGAAATAAAATAAATAACTGAAGTTTCTCTTTTCATCGATCTTCTGTTCAGGACCACATCATCATACTTGTAAAATTGTTTCTTAAATAGTAGTACGTAAGTTGGTTTTAGGGTTTTTTGACTGGTATGTTTTTGGCTTTGGGAATTTAGGCAAAACACACTTTGGAAGTCCAGTTCAAGCAGCTGGACATGGTTGTTAGGTTTTTTTTCCCTCCACAGAGCTGCTTATAAGCTAAGATTCAAATCAAACCAGGAAATTACAAACATAAATTTTTAGAAGTGAAACACAGATGTTTGCCATGGAACTACAGATAATATAGACCAAGGACTAAACAAACATTTCAGGAAGGAGAGAAGATCTGCCAAAATTTTTAGCAAAGCATTTACCTTGGAATATCAATAGACAAAATTTGCTCGCAACTTTTCTAACCATAAGACAATCAAGTGAAGTTTCCCAGGCCGCAGGAAGCCTCCGAAGCTATTTATCATTAGCAAATTCTGACCTAACTTTTATATCTCCTGTAAGTATAATATTTTAAAAGTGTTCAGTTTTGAATTTTGACATTATAAAACTATATGAAATTCGCTACAATTGCCGTGCTTAGGTAGCAAATAAGCGAGTGCCACACAAAAGTTGAAGTATTCAAAAAGTCAATTTGCCATTCCTTTCAATGTATCTGAAAGAAAATTCTGCACTGAAGTTATAATAATTTAAAATGTGGCAGTGAACAAAGAAGTCCCTTCAGAATTTATCTGCATATTGATACAGCATACAAAGAACCTTCTTTGGTTATAGCATGTGGCAGCTCATCTGCTGCAAGCGGTCCAAGATCAAAAGAACATCACTACGCAGGAAGGTGCGCAATGAGCTGCCAAACTGCGTAACTATACGGCACCTCTCTCCACATGTACTCGGTCATTTTACAAACCTCTGCTGAGAAAGGCTACAGAACCTGTATCTATTTACATTCCCTTGAGCTTTCCCTCTGCCCCCATACTCCAGTATCTTCAAGCACTGCTAAAAAAGTAACAGAAGAAATCTAATGGACGAGCATCAGTGCAGCATTAAAATTGAATATGAAGGCTTAATTTCAATTAATACTGCAGGACTGCATTTTATGAAGGAAAACTGGAATTAGAAAATAAAGTTCAAACTTAAGAATCGTGAATACCACAAATTAGGTAGAATTTGAATAGGTAAAATATAAATAAACAAACAGCTCTTCTAAAATCCAAAGGATTTTTGTAATTTTTTGTTTAAATTCTCTTAAAAAATCTTTTTATATTAATAAACATTTAACTTACTTTCAGATGCTGGTGTCTTAAGATACTCTCCCACAAGACTGCGTACATATTGATATAATGACGATGTCTCTTGATGTTCAAAATCAGAGGTTATCGACTTGCCGAAGCATCTGTCATTCACTTGTAACCAACTGCAAAGCTAAATTAAAACCAGTATGTTACTCTTTAACCATAACTGCCAGTGCTGTACTGACATTACCAACATAACAGTTCACTAAAGCACTGTTAAATCCACACTGTGAGAAGTATTAACTGGAGCTACCTTGAGGCTTAGCAGACTGTTCCCCTCTAATTAATATAGCAAAAGGTTCTTCCAGAGAGTAATTCAGAGCACCTAAAAACAGATTATTGGTACCAATATAAGAAAAAACCCAGCTCTTAAAAATAAGCAAGACTGGTAAAATTTCCCTTACATCAAAAGGGCTTCCTACAGCCAAGTGTTATCTAGTGAGAGACGCTTTTTTTTTTTTTTAACTTTTATGCCAAAAATCAACAGAATAGGATGAAACGTACAGCATACAGAACAAGAGGACACTATGCAAAAAGTCATCTATCATTATGTCCTGGCTTCGGCCAGGACAGAGTTAATTTTCTTCCGAGTAGCTGGTACAGTGCTGTGTTTTGGATTTAGGATGAGAAAAATGTTGATAACACACCCATGCTTTAGTTGTCGCTAAGCAGTGCTTACACTAGGCAAGGACTTTTCAGCTTCCCACGCTCCGCAAGGTGCACAAGAAGCTGGGTGGGACTATAGCCAGGACAGCTGACCCAAACTGGCCAAAGGGATATTCCATACCATGTGACATCATGCTCAGTACATAAACTGGGGGGAGTTGGCTGGGGGACGGTGATCACTGCTCAGGGACTGGCTGGGCATCGGTCAGCAGGTGGTGAGCAATTGCACTGTGCATCACTTATTTGGTATATTCTTTTATCATCATTATTATTATTTTTTTCCCTTCCTTCTCTGTCCTATTCAACTGTCTTTATCTCAACCCACAAATTTTACTTTTTTTCCCCCCGATTCTCTCCCCCATCCCACTGGGGGTGGGGGGTGAGCGAATGGCTGTGTGGTGTTTAGCTGCCTGCCGGGTTAAAACACAACACATTACATTACTGTACAACTAACCAAAGTTATGGCTGTGTATTCAGTTGGCTCTGGTGTATCCTATATATATATATAATGATTTCTTCTTTGAGGCTTTTTCATAACATTTTGCACCTTGCGAAGACATAAAACACATATCATCTGGAAATTTAAAATTTACAATCTCATTCTACATGAGAATGTAGGCACACATGGTAGGCACACTTTTCCCTTCGAGATTACCCTGTTATTCCTGCCAGTGTTGGGTTCAACCAAACAACATGCAAATCAGAGGCAGCTCTTCTACAATTTTTATGGCCCATATACTGGCCCATTCAGAGAGTCTCAGGATCCACATTACCTCAGACAGTAATTTCAGGACTAAGAGAAAGGCGAAACATGCACCATACTAGCAGATTATTCCTCTAAAGATAGAACAAACTTAGAAAATAGTGTTCTTTTCCATCAAATGAAATTTTACAACAGACAGTTGAGGGGAAGTGAGAAGGAAGTAGCGAAAAAGAAAATATATGATATACAGAAATAACTGTCTGTAGAATCCGATGAGCAAGAGCAGCTTCAGCTGAGGATATTACATCCACCTGGTATCCTTAATAAAAGTAGAGAGAGAAGCCCAAGTCATGGCTCTGTGGATTCCATAAGATGCCCTGCTTCGCACTCTCTCCATGAAATTACCAACCATGTAGAGGAATGAGCACGGATCCCTGATGGGAGAGATTACAGATACTGGTACAGGCTTACCAATAGCGATTTTAGTTCCTACAATCTTGGCAAAGGATGCAGAAGACTAGGACTGTGACGAACAAACAGAAGTCTCTTAAAGAACCAGTATTCAGGGACCAAAATTCTGAGTGAGACCTGATTCTAATTTGCATTTCAATATGGTTACGCCCAACAGCTGCAATACCCAGATGAACTCTAGGAAACACAATGAACTGGGGCATGCAAGCTCTGAAGGAGTTCAAAAAAACCTCTGCCTCAAGAAAGAGCTTTTTCTTCTGCAGAATTGAGAATTTCTGCATGAAGAAAGAAAGAGTCATATTTTTCTCCCCACCCACTTTACCTTCCCTTCAACAACCTCAGAATTCTTCCACTTTGAATCTGCTGAATAATTTGTTTAGGGTTAACATTAACACCTCTATAGCATTTAAAAAAAAAAAATCATAGCTTTCAAGTGAAACATAAATCCATCAGGACTCCACATCCAGAAATTCCAGAATGTACCAATGCAAAAGTAGCTAACTATTTAAACATTAAATTAGCAATAATAAATCATGCATCTGTATAGGTATTAAAAAATGTTTGATGAACATAAAAACAGCTTCAGTTCTCACCTCCATCCATAACGTAGTATCTCTCCTTAGGGATTCCTCTGGTCTAAGGGACAGAAGAAAGTTTGCAACTTCTGGGAGGGACACTTTCTCCTGAAGAAATTAATCGAGACACAATTGTCGCCAACGTAATATACAACAGATAGCATCTATATAACGACTCAAGAAGTTTGCTGTCATCTGACAAAAGTTTCAGAAAAATAAACTGACTGTTTCCTTTCCATGACACAGACTCATTTTTGCCGCTGTGGGACCAACTTATCTTTACCAAGGAACACAATGTGATTTTCCCAAGTATTAAAATCTATCTGAAAGTTAACGAATTACTAGAAGAACAGTGCTATTCACTAATGACACCTTTTAAATGAATGTTCATAAATGAGTAACAGTCACTGATAAGTACTATTTCTGTATTTCCTAAAGGAAATTCTGCTCAGACAAGTTCATAGCCATTACACAACATGGAAGACAGTCTACTTATCTAGAAAGCAAGCACATTATAAGACAACCAAAACATGAATACTTTGACTACTGAGTAATTAAGGTCTTGCTATTTCAACATTAATGGTAGTTTTAGCATTCTGGTATTATGAATACTTTTATTCTCTTAGGTATTTCAGAAAAGTCCATTTAGTTTCTATCTGTTAAAACCTGAGTTTATACAGCGGATATCATAATAGGATACTATTCCAAAACTATTGCGTGAAAACCCTAGAAGAAAACATCAACTAATAAAAAGTAATGAAAAAATACATCTTATGAAAACCAGAAGTTAACAGAAGCATACCTATACTTACATATCACAATTTTTTTAGTCACTAAAAAAAAAAAATCACAAATCCAGCAAAATCAGTTGTTCCATGTTGTATTTAGCAATTTTCTGAATATTGTTTACCCTGTAAAGTGTTAGTGTATTTCTATTACACCAGAAAAAAAAAAACCAACCAAAAAAAACCTCACCACATCTGTCAAATGCATAGCTGTTTGAAGAAGATAGCACTGAGCAGCTCCACGCAACAAAATCTGATGTGTAATCATAGTACACTGGAGGACATCTCTGCAAAGAGGAAAAAATATGCACTGCAGAAAACGCACACTTAGGAAGTTTAAGCATTTTCATGTATTTGCTAATTATTAACCATTTTCAGTACATTAGATTGTATTTAACAAACATATTCTACTAAGTATGACACAATCACTGCCTGATCAGCCAGCATACAATCCGGAACCAAGACTACTGCTACATGTACTTTCAAAAACTGATTATTACAACTTGGATAAGCATATACCTGACAAGATAAAAAAGCATGGGGGGGAAGCAAAACAAAACCAAAACTAAAGGAACAATCCCCATGATCACATTAGTTCAAACTGATAATTTAATATTTGCATTTCCCTCTGTAACAAATATAGAAATAAAGTATGTGTGCCATCAAATTCTCACTCTAGCACAAAACTGAAAGAAACCTTCAATGCTCTTTTATCAGCAGAGGTGTGTCTGACTTTTTTTTGCCTTTTTTTTTGGTAAATTACTTTTATACAATATTCTTTCAACCACCAGTAAGATTTAATTTCAAAGCTTGAATTCGATCAAACTGGAATAACTGCTGATTTTTAGTGGCTCTAGGAAGTGAAAGCAGATACTTAGGAAACATCAGTGTGATTAAGGACAACACACATGCCAAGAACTTTTACCTAGCCTTTTATTTACAAGTCCTTCAGTTTTCAATTTTGTGGGCTGTCCCCTAATATAGCCTCAACTGCCATTAAACAAGGTTTTAATGTAATTAGAAGAAAAGGAAGAAGTTTGATATATATCAGCTAGGAAGTATGGAAGACCAGGAGAAAATGATTCCAAAAAGAAGTGATGACGAAGGACTGAAATGCAAAACACTCATTTTTTAAGTCACACAGAAATATAAATACATTGGTTCTTAAATTGCTTTCCTCTGTGAATTAGACAGAAAGGAGACTGAACCTTCCATTCCCATGCACAGCCATCACATTCTCCCAGAAGTAACAACCATGAATTAAATCCTGGCTCTCCAGACGTTCAGCACATTTCTTTACAAGAAGTCTGTAAGAACACAATGCAGTGTACATCTTACCTTAAAGCATGAAGTCCTTCAGTGCCCAGTACTTTACACGCAGGGATATATGCCAGAGCCATAGAAAGAAACAAAACGGGTACAGCACACCAATGCCTACTTGTCATCTTCTGAATAAATTTTAACAGGAAACTACCTTAAAATAGAAGTAAACAAAACAATCCAGAGTGATTTCTTGTTCTCCAATGCATTTAAACAACACTGACCCCAACAGGAAAGTGTTATGATCATTTCCGAAAATTAAATGAAAACAACAGAATAATTTCCTCATTATTTCAATGAAAAGAGAATGTTCCAAAGAAGTCTGTCAGTAAGGTAATATGACAAGGAGATAACCAGAAATAAACTAAATTTTGGCTTTGGTGATCTGCCCCAATCACCATATTCAGTAATGGAATTTTAACTCTGATTGTTTCAAGTACTAGACAACGCCTTTTTTAAGCTGCTACTCAGTCCATGTGACAACAGACCAAAGTACATGGCAATTCAACCAGTTTAATGGATGCTGGCATGGCCAAAGCAAGCCTCAACAAGACACCACAGCTACCATCTGTAGAAGCAGGTCACCCAGTCTCAGGGTTGCTAATCACAGACCCTTCTTTTTGTGATAGAATATATGCCTTGGGACAGGGCAGAGAAATAGGGCATCTACGGCATTACAAACATGTAAGGTGTTTCCTACCAGAATATGTACCTGTAGATGCAGGATACTGAACAGAGCTGGTTCTACCCTCATTTAATCCAATTAAACCAACTATTAAATTCTGGTCTGTCAAAGGTTGCTCCTTCTTTTCAGCCTACACTAACACCAAAATTTGGAACAATCTCAGAAATATTCCTCCATCCAACCTCACAATAAAAGAATCCTTACTCAGCTTCAGACTTAGACTGGCTCTTTTGAATGTCTAACTACACAGGTTGTGACTAAAAAAACCAAAAACCAAACAAAAAAAACCCCCAAAACCACAAACAAACCCAAACCAAAAAACCCACACCAAGACCCCCAAAACAAACAAACAGGATAGTTCTAAAGATTTTGCCCAGCACAGTATTATCTACACTGACAAATAAAGAAAAAAGAATCTGCAAATACTGTTCACCTTCAGAACTTCGGAGTTTGTTTGGTTTTTTAACAAAAAAAGTAAGTCTGCTTCAGTTTGTCCCTAAAACAATTTCGTAGCTTAATACTGCAGCATCCCTCAAAGCCTGTGGAGACCTCTCTCTCCTCTGGAAACTCCACTGCCACAAGGAAAACTACTCCTTTTTTCTCTCAAGTAATGTAGAAAAATAGCAGTAAATGTTTACATGAAATACAGAAAATGGGTCCATAGTTTTTATTTGGTTTCTTTATTTCAAAAAAAGATAGAGGTGAAATTGTAACATACCTTTTTGTTCTTCTGGAAGAAGCATGAGATAAGTAGCCAAAAACTTCTGTAGCCTCATTCCCAAAGGAGGACAGGCTCCCATTAACTGACCTGATGTCCTGTTGGGTTTTAAAACATCAAATACACAACTGGCATGTTAACAGCTACAAGTAGGATTGCCCCTAAACAAAAACAAAGTGCAGTTCAGTGGTTACTTCACTGCAGAGACTGCTCCAACAGGCCACAGAGATGGAGTGCATCAGCTTGTGTCCTCCACTTATCCCAGTATTCCAGCAGCACCCAGCAAACGCACAGAGGATGGGGACAGTCACAACAGCGTGCCTCTCCCTGGCCACCTACAAGGACATGGTGGTAGCACACTCCGGCATTCAAGCGCAGCCTCAAGTCAAGTTACTGAGGCCTGAGAGCATCTTATGTTGAGGCCACGGTAAGAAACGGCACTGTCAGTTCAACCCCATGCCCGCACCCAGAGAATGACACGGGCCTCCAGGAGCGGGTTGCCAAGGCCCACGGGACAGCATCAGTGGTACACAGCAAGGATGTGACCAGTCTGATCTGGAGAACAGCACAGACAAATTACCTACACAAATGTGCTAGGGAGCAAGATTATAAAGTCAGTATAAACAAACCCACCAACTAGCACAGAAGGTTTTAAGTAAAGATGCAAGAAACACTCCATGAGACCAACAGAGACAACCTGTGTCCTACCAGGAGTCTCAGGATCCTGGCTATCAAGGATTAGCATCAGACAGTCATGAGATTTTACAGTTCTCTCTCATATAGCCTGACATTAACCATAACAACTCTGCATATTCTTGGTATGCTCAAACATGCACCCTCCTCTACACATCCCAACACTTCCACTAGAAATACAGAAGCTAAGAGAGAAGATTATGAAGCATCGATCCAACACAGCTCTAACATACACACTGGAACACTCGGCGCTTGCTTCAACTTCTGACTTCCCATCAGCGTGTGCCCATGGAAAGCATGCTGCAGCCAGCTAATTGAGATGAGAAACGCCTAACTGCTGCGAGAGCCCAAAGAGGTCACATTTGTCCTGTCGTGTTTAGATGAAACAACCTATTTTGACTACACTTCATCCAGAATCACCCAATCCAAACTAATCACTGGTTTAATAAGCAACAGTCACATTTTTTTGCCCAAAAAAAAAAGCATATGAATAGACAGTATCAACTTTTCTAGCTGCCTAACAAGGTCAGCCAGTCAAGGCTCCTCCAACATCGTTCTGAACTGAGTTTCAGATTGCTCGCTGAATCACTCAAGCCACCGCATCTGGCATAATGCTGAGTGCATGAAGTGAATTCAGCACTTTATTCTCCATCCTCAGTACTCTCCATGCAACTAGCACAAAGCACTGAATGCCATCAGCACGCTGAATGTGTAGCAACTTGCAATGCCTCAAGCTTTTATCTTTTCTTTATGTATTTATACCCAGGGAGGCCACCGTCATCCGTCGACCTCAAATAGTCTCCTGTGAAAAAGTATTCATTTCCCAAAAGATAATCAGGCACTGTTGAAAAAACACTTTATCAGTTATAAATTGGCAACAATTAGAGCAGCCCCATCTTTCTTTATGGCAAAAAAATAGCAAAGTCGTCTTTTTATCTTCTCAAGTTATTCATTTATCATATCTCACTTCATTTCCAAATTAATATTTCAACATCAGGTGTAAAATAGGACCTTGAGGCACTCCTATGTTGCTATTACTAGGATAAAATTGAACCTACTTCGTCTTCTTCACAGCCACCCACCTTTCCTGAAAAACTCTTCACCTGTCAGGAAGTTTAGCAACACCCTTTGTTTATTAATGTGTTTTCCTTTATCCAAGACCTCACCCACATACTCAAGCCAGTATTATTAGAATACCTTTCCAATAATCAATATATTTATAAAAAAAATTAAAATCAATGGCTTACCTGCTATAGAGGGAACTTTCTGATAAGGCATCCATTAACGGTCCAATAACAAACTGATAAAAGGAAACAAGAACAACAGCTAAACGTACGCTTGCAAGGCACATAGAGGCTAACTAGACTTATCTCACCAGACTTTAAAAGGACAGAGTCAGAAATTAGAGAACACTCTTGTTAGTAGTAACTAGTAGGAGAAAAAAAGAGGAGGAAACTAAAGAGAAGGGGGAGCAGGAGAATAAACAAGCAAAGCAATTTTTCTCACTAGGTACATTTTACAGAGCATTGTGAAAGGTGCAGGCAAGTAAGAAATCCTTTTGGGAAACGGACTGAGAAAAGATATTTAAACATGAAATAAAAGAAAGACTAGGGGCCAACACAAGTAGAAAGATTTAGGGTGTGTTTTAAGGCTGACTGGATTTCAAGTCAGTCATCAAGAGGCTGACTTGATTTTATAAATCAGAGATGTTAACCTCTGAGGGCAACGCTCCTTCTATGAAGGAGAGAAAGAAGAAATAATAGTATAATACAGATCATTCCTTCCTAAGGTGTAGCCTGGCTGGGGAGTCAACCTACAAACAATATTAATAATTAAAAAAAAAAAAAAAGAACTTTGAACTTACAATATTTCTTCCCACATATGCAATGTTTTAAAGTGTGGCTTTTCATGGGACACAGTAATATACTGATTATACTACAGAGACATTCACCTCCTCACAGGGTTATCTAGCAATGGATCTTCAAAATCCATCCTTGAGTAGGAGATACTACACACAGACTTGAAGTCTGTTGACCAGGTTTATCCAAGACTCTGTTCAACCAATTTATATTAATTAATAATTTTGAAAAGGTTCAGGGGGCTCTGAAAATCTGAAGCATCGATCACCCCTCTGAGAATTTCACTTCTGGTAACAAATTTCAATAAACTGGGAGCCAACTTTAATTAGAGAGCATTAGTTTGAAATCAAGGAATGAATGAGTGCACTCGAAAATGCATTCCCTCTAGCCAGGCCATTTTTCAAGTAATTATATATTTAACACCACTTACAAATACTGCTATCACTTGCACAGCTAAGTAAGATGGTATTTTTACAGAACATGTCTAATTCCAACACCACTGAGGCAATTAGTGTTAAGATATATTACTTCTGGCAAATAACAGGAACACTCTCACCTCCGAAAAACCAAGTGAATTTGGAAGAGGCTTTGTTTCATAAAGCTCCAGAAAATGAAGAATGCCTTCCTTCGTCAACGTTTTATTCTCACTCGCAAACATTCGTTTATAGATGCACATGTGCCATGATGGGTGAAACAACCAACAACCTGACACAAAAGCAAATTCTTCTGAACTGACACAGAAATGACAGTTAACATACTAACACACAACATACGGACATTCTAGACAACATCATAGTCAACTCACATGACGTTTCAAAACGATGATTATAGCTATTAGATTTATAAAAGTACCCTGCTAAATCTCCAATACGAAAAAAAAAAAATACTTATTAACATGGCTTTCAAAACTTACCCTGTAAATTTTAGTAGTTACAAATTAAAATGACTAACAAATGCAAAACCCACGTCCTTCTTCCTGCAATTCCGCTCATGTCAACATTGTATTCACCTGCAACACTTTCACACTAACAGTTTTCCCACTTTACAAATCTCCAAACTTTCACTTCTAACATCTTGCACTACCTAATTAGATGTGTTCCGTTTTGCCCTACAAGAGGTGACATTACATCCTTCACCATGCTGTCTCAGCACTTATTTTATCTCTTCCCTCCCCACTTGCAGTGAGGGAGTTGTGCAGGTAACTTGGCTCATCTGACTCACCCGAAGAATCTCTGGCTTTGTTTTATTTTCACATTAGCTTAAGTAAAGCAAAACACAGTGAAAAAGGACCATTTAGTTAGGCTTGCTGACAGAAAAAATATTTCATGATAACATAGTAAGCAATAAGCATATGCTAGGATTTCTTCTTGTTGTATCTCAGAGCAGAGCGGCACAACCTGTGCACGCTTGCCAAGCAACCCATGCATATAGCAGACCCACAAAAACCGGAACAGCCACCCAGCAAACAGCTAATCTAAGAAACAAAACATAACAAAAAGCCGCTACTAAAACAGTGAAGAAAAAAGTGTGACTTAACTGCCTAATATTTAGGAGATGCTTCAGAAGAGTTACGTCTTACCTTTTTCCCCCGATATAGCATGCTCATACAGACTGTTTAGTTTTGGTAACACTGGCTTTATGACATGGATCTGAAAGGCAAATCAGATGTAATATAAGTAGTCAGTTTATATCTCAAACCTAAGAACTGGCACTTAGTCATGGGCAAGCATTACTACAGTAATTGACAATATAACAGCATTTAAATAAGCCTGCAACGCCTGTGCAGCTGATCCGGGCACTTGGTACGTAACACTCAATCACAGGTTAGCACTGAAGAAAAACTGATTCTTCTGTGCTACTGTATCATAAGAACAATACTTTTTAATAACCAACCATTCTATTCATCAAAAGTATAACAAAACAGCACAAATCTCTAAAATTAAACACTTTGGTAAATACTATTTCTCTCAGTTACAGGACAATTATGTAGCAATAAAATAACTACGAAGAGGTAGTCACACAACTGATAGTTAACACCACAATACCACACAATTACAGGAGCCTCAAGTCAACAGGAGCCTTTCTGCCAAGGAGACTGGACACCGAGTCAAACTCAGTGATTTTCATCCAAGGCCACAAGCGCTTTACCATACAGATACAGACCCCTCTACTGAAAAGAGGTAAGTTGCAACAGCCAGATTTTCACTAAGAAAGAGGTTACCCACGGTCTCGCAATAAGCCGCAATCCAGGGTTCTCTCTTTCCTAGTTCAACCCGCTGCTTTAACCGGAATTATTCCAAAGACAGAGGAGAGTTCTGGATTTATTCCAGATGAATTACACATGCTGAGTTTTAAACATTTGGAATTCGAAATAAAAATATTCCTGCTAACGCCTACTTAGATACCCTCAACCACCAACACTGGAAATGCTCGACCCAATAAGAGTATGTGCGGTACGTGTGCCAGAAGTAACGCACCACGTGTAAACTACGACAGGCGCAGGTTTTACGGTGCTCCTACCTGGTTTCCTTCCAGAGTTTCCATTACCAAAATGTAAGTTTCCCAAAAGAGCATCAGCTTCTCATTCTTCTCAGCAGACCACCAAAAGAGACTCGATTCTACCACAGAAAGGGCAAGTTTCTCCCCGCCCAGCCCGGGT